GACCTTTCTTTGAACCATGAAGAAAGCATCCTTAAGGTTTATTTAGTAACAGGACAGGTACAAAATTAAAGGCAACAGTACAGCATCAACTCTCAGTTAATTTGCTTTGGAGGGTTTGCTTTAAAGCCTAAGAGTTGTATTAAATAAGAGAAGGGGTTAGGGAGGCTGTGGGGGTACAAGGGAATAATTTAAATATTGGGAAATGAGGGTACATTCAGAAAGATAGGAAATTATCATGAATACTGCTGAATTTAACAAAAATTCATTCTACAACAACAAAAAACATTTTTGTAAAACAACAGAAGGGCTTCTCTGATTAGAACTATAAATCACAAAGAGAAAAAAATGTCTGTTTTCATTTTTCATAAATATTGAGTTAAAACAGTTCATATGCCTCTGATATTCTGACTTGTGGGTCTAAATTGAAGTTGGTTGCATATATAATCATTTACTCATTTTAGCTTCCTAGGTATCACAAAACTTGAAATTAAAATGAAGAGCTTTCAAAGTCTGTTTAGCACTATTTCACTTGATCTTAGCCAAAAGGCCAAGAAACGATATTTAGCACAATTTCAGTCAGTTTTAAAAGCATTAAATAGATGCTTATAAGTGATCTATCAGATAAATAAGAAAGCATGTAAATACACTGAACTACAAAAACAGCTTTTCAAAGGCATGTCTAAGCCAATGCCCACAGTAAACAAAATTATAAAATTGGCATTCTACCACCTTTTTCATTCCCTTGTCTGATGCCCTCTCTACTTTACCACCCCAGATAATTTTACCTAAATCTCATTAACTTTTGCATTCAACTAGTTGCCAATTAATAATAAAGATGTGAGCTAGTAATGCTCCCAGAGGTATTTGTATCCGAATGTAAATCATTTGAAGACTAACTAAACTTTCAATCAGCCTCAAAGGCAGTACTTCTCAACCCTAGCTGTGCATAAGAATTACCTAGGGAGCTTTTAAAAATCTGATGCCCAGGCCACACTCCTAAGGAATTAAATCAGAATCTCTGGGGGTGGGGCCTAAACATCAGAATTATTTAAAGTTCTCCAGGCAATTGCAATGTGCAGCCACAGTTGAGATCCACTGTCTTAGGGAAAGCATTTGAAAAAATGAAATTTCAAGCTAGTGAAAGAGATATTTTTCAATGGAGATATATATCATGTTACTCTGTTGAGGTTGCCAACTACTGAAAAAGCTCTGTTTAAGGTAAAGAACCATTTTTATTATGAGACAAACTGCTACATTTTAAAAATCACTAGACACTCAATTTCTAAGTCTTTATTTCAGCAAGTTACTTCACTCAAGTTTTACTTATAAAATAGGAGTAATAATAGCAATGACTACCAATCTCATGGTGCTGAGGATGATCAAATGAAGCAGGGCACCAGAAAGTATTTTATAAAATGTAAAATTTTATTTATTATTACACAGCTGAGCTGCAGAACCATTTATCATTAAAAAGACTAATTATAATGTGGATTACAACTGTAATATGGATTATTTCCTGAAATATTTGTCACTTTGTTAGTAAAGACTACCTTTATGAACTCTTAAGTGTCTAACCCAGTGATTCTCAAAGTATAGTTCCTCAAACAGTAGCACCAGCATCACGTGAAAACTTCTTGGAAATGCAAATTCTTGGAATCTACATCAGACCTACCAAACCAGACACTGGAGGCAGAACCTAGCAATCTTGTTTGAACAAGCTCTCCATGTAATTCTGATACACGCTAAAATTTGAGAACTACACATCGAACCAAACATAGTAAAAAGAGAGTATATATGACTAAAATCAAAGGATGAATATACAGTATTTGTTATTTGAATCTTTAGAAATCAGAGTGCAAAGGCACACTAGAATAAATTACTAGTACATTAAAAAAAACTCCCAAATCTTTGTATTTTAAAAAAATACAATTCTCACTATCCAGCCAAACCATCAATTAACACATTAATCATAAATATAATGGTAGTGTATAAAATTGGGAGCCAGATAAATTATAGAATATATAATACTTTGGATAAAAAATTAAAAAAAAAAGAAAAAGAAAAACTCTAGTAGGAGTAACAATGGTTTAGAAAATAGCGAAGTTTTAATTCACTGGGCTTGGGTTTCTCTCAGAGGAAGAGTCACAACTATATCTTAAAAATCACATTTATCCTGAAGACAACACCCCACAGCATTTCAATGTTCTTATTCAAGCTAAGGAAGTGTTTTATCACTGACTCAGAGAAAAGACCACAACTTGGACTGAATCACCAGCAATGTTTCCTACAGCATTAGATTTGTCATTGGGTCTGCTAAGCAACAACAACAAAAAAACAGTCCCAAAGCTTCCTCTCTTAAAAGATCTCATAAGAAAAAGTTATCACTGTTGCCTCCAACTACGAAGTCCAAAGTCTTCGTAGTTGACTTATTAATAAATTAACTCATTTATTAATGGCAATACAGTGATAGGTAAGAACACTGGAGAATCTTGTGAGGTTGCAATAGAAAGTTCTTTGAGATCTTTCTTGTTTTCTCTTTTTCCATTTTTAAAAGTTCTGGCAGCCTCAAGATACCTAGCACCACCCTGGAAAGATGAGAGTGAAGTATCCCAATTGAGAACTGACTTCAGTATCACCTTTAGTTACTTAATGAAAACTAGGTAGATTTGACTTTTTTTCTGGAAGATTCCATAAATAAATGAGGTTCCATTTACCATGACCAAGCGGATGACTCAGGTTCTCTCTTTGATCAAGATATCTGAGTCCTAAGGAATTTTACTTCCCTCAATCATTAGCTTCCTGTATTTAAATAACTTGGGGTTAAAAGTGGGGGTATTTGCAAGAAGAATAACTCCAATAATTGATAGCTGTACTCTGTGTCCTAGAAAATATTTTCCACCTATTCGAAAGAAAACAAAAGAGAGAAGCTTGGTTTTACTTATCCATGCTAATCAAAATTATACTGTCTCTCCCTGGCAATCCCTTTGCCCCACCTTCTAAGAAAAAATAGCAATTCTAAGCTCTCATTTTCCATACTGGAAAGAACTAGCACAAATATATAATTGCCAAAATTATTCATTCCTTTTGCTCATTCAGTCATCTACAAATATTTATTGTGTGCCTAGCATCTTCTAGACATTGTCATAGGTGCAAAATGAGTCTAGAGAGATGCACAGATTTCGGTGATGAGGACATGGATTTTATGTATCTAGGGTGCTAGGTTTCAGTTTCTCTGTCAACCAAGATGAGTGGTACTCAAACTCGCATGAGCATCAAAAGCACTGGGAGAGCTTGCTAACACAGCTTGCTGGGCCCTGCACAGAGACTTTCTAGTCTGTAGATGTGAGGCGCGAAGGGTCGAGCACAGTAGGATCTCTAACAAATTCTCAAGCGATGTTGATGCTGCTGGTCTAGGGACCACACTTTGAGAACCACTTACCAAGAAATGGGAGCTCTTCACACTACACCTGCCAGCTTTCAAGCACTGTACATCTGTCTCTCTTCCAAAGAAGGCAATGGCCCCATGAACGCTGTCATAATCACTCTTAACTGAGCACAATTCCAATTCCCAGAACCACCTCAAATATTTAGGGTCAGTGACTTCAGAAGAGAAGAAAGAGGTATAAACAGCAAGGAAGAGAAAATTCTCCTTCTGGGGGGTTTTCTTCCTCTTTTTCTTTCATTTTATCCCGTATCACAAGAAATCACTTTTCTATTATGGTTTCCCAGTACAAGTGTTATGGAAAAGAAAAACACTCATTTAGATTTTTTGTATTTCTTTACTTTAATAAAATCATTGTTTTTCTTCTAAATTCATTTCTCATAGCCCTTTTTCCCCCTTTTTTTGTTGGACTATCCCCTTTTTGAACAAAAAAATCATAGGGTTAGAAGGAACACTAAGAATTCACTTAATCCCTCCTTGGCCTCAGACAAGACTGTGTCTAAACCATTCCCAAATATAGCAATTTTCAGTACAAAGACGAACAGGCACTAAGAATTTTCCATTCAACATTCTGTCAAATACTTGAAGATACTAATACACTTTCCCTCAGCCTTCTCTTCACCAAGCTAATCAACCTCAACACTTAGACTTTCCTCATTAGATTTCCTAAACTTCAAATTATTTTTTCTTCTTCTTTAATAAGTCTATCTCACTTTACCTCAGGGCTGAATTATATATGTACTGTTATCAGGAAGACTTTTTTTGGTATGTGAAAAGGAGAAAGTTAACTTATAGGTTGAAGAAAATGAAATTTAATTGGAACAAAGAAATATCTATGTATAAATGCCACTAAAGAATAATACAATGGCATTCATTTGAACAATTAATTTTAAATATCCTTTATTTTATTAAGAGAAATAGTAATGCCCTACAGTTTTAAAAACTTTACATTACAAATCACCAGCCATTTCATGAATAAAATGGATGGGAATTAGAGAGCTTTTAAAATATGCCACAAATTATACATAACCATGTTTCATGACACTTCACATAGGAGAAAACATTATTATTATTCATTTATTTTTTGTTTTATTTTGTATGGTGTTCACTACTGAATTTACAGTTGTAGTTAATGATTTAACTCTATATGAGTCTAAAAGTATTGAGTCTATTATTTGATAATCATTTCTGTGAAAAAAATTTCTCTGATTTGAGCCTTGGGAATCACAGATATTTAGAGATTCACAGAGTATAGGACAAGATAGAACAAAGTCCATGTTAAATCATATGTTTTCAAGAAGTTTAGAAAGTAAACCTAGGTAATACATTGGAATATGGGGTAAAATGGGATAATTCATTTTATTTCAATTTCTCCCATTCTAAATATCACTAGTCAAAATACAATCTTTGCTTTCAGAATGGTGAGGTGCTTTAGTCTAGTCTAAGCCTGAGGGATAGGTTTCTTTCCTTGCCTATTGCTATTAAGGTGTACGGTGGAGGCGATGCATTTAGTCTCCAGAGAGAAGGAAGATGCTGCTTGCACAGCACTTCTACTCACCAGTCCATGCAGCAGCAAGGGTGTTGGCTTTGAAGGAAGCCAACTGTCCTGCTCTCCCAGCCAGAGGTAAAGAATTGCATTGGTGGCCACTAGAGGGAGGAGGATTAGGAATAGAGTAAATTGTGGGGAAAAGGCACCCATGAAAAACGCACATGGGACAACCAACACATCACCAACCACCGCCTAGCAGCTACCTTTCTGAGGGACTATCATGGGGGTGAGCAGACACCATTAACCCAGAGACCCAGACACCAGTAATTATTGTAGTATCCCAGTATACAGCCCCTTAACTTTGATGCCAGGAGAAGGGAGTTTGAATAGGATTGTGGGAAACACACAAGCACACAAATACAAACACACAAGCACACAGACATACATTCTCATCCCCCATTACAAGAAGTTGTATCTGTGTCGTCTGATTCTTGCTCATTTTCTTATTTAAAACTCTTGATGTTCTTTACCAAGAATGCGTTCACGAAAAGCAAACTGCCCACCTTCAAGATAGTCTTGGGAGAAGCACCAGCAGAGACACTCATTGTGCCAAGATGTATTTTACCAACAAATCTGTACAAATTACATGAGGTTAAAAACAAACGGAATATAGTATAATTAAAGCAAAGTTTCTTTTGCTAAATTACAGCTTGAAGCAAACCTGCAAGAAATGTTTCCAATTAGCTTCTTTAGCAAACACAAAGCATAGCTCAGAATATGTTTTGCTTTCCATCCTGCCCTCTGGGTGGGCTGCCTAGTGGGTGTCTTACCTCCAGCACAAGTAGATGAGCATTCTGACCACGGCTGATGATTCCAAGTAAAGCCAACTTCACTGTCTCCACTGCCGGTCCGAGTGATAGGAACGTTGAACTTATACCTAATTCCCAAATTCTGTTCTTGAAGCAGAACCTGCCATTGAAAACAACTGGTGAAGATAATTAAAATACAATGAGCCTTCATTCAGATAGTTATGATTTCTTTTGAAGAAGAAAATGTCACAGAGTAAGTCTTGTAGGAAATTTAGGATAATTTTCAGAACACATGCATTTATATTGAATTTTCTCTTTCCATTTTCATGGGTAATTTGGAGTCATTTCTCTCATATAACTTATTTGGTTATAAAAATGTTATTCAACCATGCATTGAAATGGTCAGACAGTCATATGGAAAGACTGCTATGGCCTTAACTTTACACAGATTTTATACTCTTGGGCAAACCATTTTACCTTCATTTACCTAATTTCACCACCTATAAAACAGAGATAATAAAGCCTGCCTCTTCATACCTCACAGGACAGATGACAAACAGTAGAAATGAAATGGCAAAGACACATTTACCATGACAATAAGATTTTCCGAGGTGGGGCCTAGAGCTTCCAAGGATTCTGGTTCGTCAGTTGGTCTCTTGTAGTGAAAAGCTGTGCCAGCAATATCAAACTTCCTAGGCCAATCAATAGTCCAGGCACCATTAATATAGTAATCATCCCCTTCAGATTTTAAAGCTATAAAAGAAAAGAAATCACAGTTCACCTAAAAATATGAAACTTCATTTACCACGATGTCACTGACTAATAATTGCACTGAAGTATACAATGAACATACATTTCCATTTGGAAATGGGATTTTTGACCATCTTCTTAAGTGCAAATTAAAATGGTAATTTTCCATGTGAATGTCAAGAATATATTAAGTATTTATAATATTATTAATAAAAAGAAATAAAATGTTTATCTGGAGAAATAAATATATGGAAGTAGCAAGAAAAATTATGACAAAAGGAATAACTAGGGATGGGGGAGGAGTAGGAAGTGACTTTCCTGTTCAAATATTAAAATAGTAGTTGTATGACTATGGGTTAGGGAGAACCTATGGTATTGACACACAGACAGTCAACAATGGAACTGAACAGATAGTTAAGAAATAAACCCAAGCATATACGGTAATTAGTATGTGACAAAGGAAGCATCTTAAGTTAGTATACATAATAAGAAATCAAATTAAGACAAAAGACTAGTCTTTTGGCAAAAACAAAAACAAACAAAGAAAAAACACTTTATAGATACTACAACTCCACTCTTAGGTACACATCCAAAAAAATTAAAATAGATACTCAAACAAATATTTGTACATACATATTCATAGTAGCAGTACTCCCAATAATTAACAGTGGACAACCCAAATGTTCATCAATGAATGAATGGATAAACAAGTTGTGGTATATACAATACAATAAAATATTATTCAGCCATAAAAAGAAATGAAGTGCTGATGCATGTTTCAATGATGATGAACCTCAAAAACATTATGCTAAGTGGAAAAGGCTAGACAGAAAGGTCACATACTGTAAGCTTCCAATTATATAAAATATCTGGAATAAGTAAATCCATCGAGAAAGAAAGCAGATTGGTTGTTGCCAGGGTCTGGGGGGTGGGAAGGGTGGCTGTTTAATAGACACAGGGTTCCTAATGGGGTAATGAAAATGTTTTGGAATGCACCAAATACCACTAAATTGTTCAATTAAAAATGGTTCAATTCTATGTTATGTGAATTTCACCTCAATAAAAATACATTTTAAAGAAAGAGAGGTTTCTGGTCAAGATGGTGTAGTGGGTAAATGCTATGCTTGCCTCTTCTCATGACTACATCAAAATTACAACTAAACTACAAAACAACCATCATTGAGAACTGCCTGAAGCCTAGCTGAACAGAAGTCCTATAACTAAGGACATACGGAAGAAGCCACCTTGAGACTGGTAGGAGGGGTGAAGACAAGGAACAGGTTGGTCCCACACCTGCATGTGGTGGTTAAAATCGGGAGGGATATATTGGCTGTGGAGGTGCAGCCTGGAGGAGAGCGGGGTCCCAGCCCCACACCAGGTTCCCCAGCCTGGGGTTCCAGTGCTGGGGAAAGAGGTTCCCACAACTTCCAGCTATGAAAAACAGTGGAGATTATGGATGAGTGAGACGGGAAGCTGCTGGAGTTACAGGATTTCCTTTTAAAGGGCCTGCACACAGACTTACTTGCTGATGAACTCACTCACTCTGAGTTCCAGCACTGGGGCAGCATGAAAACTACCAGCGACATACAACTGAACTGTCTGGCTAAGGGTGAGGGCTGGAGGGGCAGCTTTCTGCCAGACAGAAAAGCTTGCAGAATCTATTATTTCTTTGTTGAGTCCTCCCCACATTCAGTGTGTAGACGCAGGCAGCTGCCATATCTGAGTCTCCATTAAACTCGCTAACAATATTCGCTCAACCTTGGTGATTTCCTGAGACCCAGCCCCACCCAACTTGTGGGCCCACCCAAGTAATTTCTAGCGGATTTTCCATCCAAATGGCCTGTCTTGGCTCAAGGTGCGATCTTTCATAAAATATCTCAAAGGTTCACAAAGCCCAAATAAGCAGTGTCTTGCCTTGGTGGGTCCCATACCTCTTGCAGAGCAGCCCCAAGTCTGGCACTATTGCCAGTGACCTCAATTGGAAGCTTGGCCTCTCGAGGCACCTCCTGGCTCAGTATGGGTGGCTGCCATCTGTGGATTGCTTTGTGACTCATGCCAGTGACCCTCGGCAGGGCACAGGCTGCAGCTGATCTTGGTCTGCAGCAGGGACCTCCCAGGAGCTCCAAGGCTGGCACACCCAGTGGCCAGCTTTGGACCCATCTGGAGCATCACCCAGATGCCTCGGTGGATGACACACCCCAAAGGCAGCTGAGCAGGCACCAAAGCTCTGCTAAAGCAAATCCTGCTCCATAGGGTCAGCTCCTGAATAACAGCTCCTCCACTGTAGTTATGGCCAGTCCTCACTACCAACTAGCCGGAGGGTCAATCCCTCCCTATGGTGAGCAAACAACAACCAATACTCAATTACAACAGGAGGGAACAACAGCCCACACATGGGACACACCTGGAGCACCTACCTCAGGTGACCAGGGAGACTGCACCACTGGGCCCTACCAGACACAAGGCCAGTCTACTAAGTTCAAGAGAGAAAGCAGCTTTATCGAATAGATAGAAACAAACACAGGGAAGAAGCCAAATAGGGAGACAGAAATATATCCCAAATAAAAGAAGAGAACAAAGGTAAAAAAAAACAAAGAAAACCTCAACAAAATGGAAACAAGCAATCTACTAGATGCAGAGCTCAAAACATTGGTTATAAGGGATCTCAAGGGAAACTTCAACAAAGAGATAGGAAATATAAAAATGGAGAGATAAAAGATAAAAAAAGAACTAGTGAGAAATGAAGAATACAATAATTGAAATAAAGACTACATTAGAGGGACTTGATACATTAGATGAGGCAGAGGATTGAATCAGTGATTTAGAAGTTAAGTTAGCAGAAAACACCCAATCAGAGCTGAAAGAAAAAAAGGATAAAAAAATAAGGAGAGTTTAATGGGTCTCTGAGACAATGTCAAGAGTACCAACATTCGCATCATTGGGGTACCAGAAAGAGAAGAAAGAAAGCAAGGAATTGAAAACTTATTTGAAGAAATAATGACAGAAAACTTCCCTAACCTGGAGAAGGAAATAGACATACAAACCCAGGAAGTGCAGAGAGTCCCAAACAAGATGAACCCAAACAGACCCACACCAAGACACATCATAATTATAATGCTGAAGGTGAAAGACAAAGAGAGAATCTTAAAAGTAGCAAGACAAAAGCAGTTAATTACCTACAAGAGAGATCCCATAAGACTGTCAGCTGATTTCTCAAAAAAAACTTTGCAGGCCAGAAGGGATTAGCACCAAATATTCAAAGTGATTAAAAGCAAGGACCTACAGCCAAGATTACTCTACCCAGCAAAACTATAATTTAGAATTGAAGAACAGACAAGAAAAAGTTAAAGGAGTTCATTAACACCAAACCAGTATTACAAGAAATGTTACAGGGACTTCAAGAAGAAGGAAAAAAAATTAAAAATATGAATCATGAAATGCAATAACTACACATCTATAAACAGTTACTTTCAATGTAAATGGATTAAGCTCCCAATCAAAAGACACAGAGTGGCTGAATGGATAACAAAACAAGGCCTTTACATATGCTGCCTACAAAAGACTCACTTCAGACAGAAAGACACACACAGGCTAAAGAAAAGTGATGGAAAAGATATTTCATCCAAATGGAAATAAACAAACACATAAACAAACAAACAAACAAACAAACAAACAAACAAACAAAGCTGGAGTAGCAATACTTACACCAGACAAAATATACTTTAAAACAAAGGCTACAACAAGACACAAAGAAAGACTCATTAATTCCATTTCTGAGTATTTATCTGAAAAAACCCAAAATGCTACTTTGAAGGGACATGTGCATCCATATGTTCACTACAGCATTAGTATTTGCAAGAGCTAATACATGTTCACAACCTGGGTATCCATCAGTGGATGAATGATAAACAAGAGGTGGTACATATATACAATGGAAGATTATTCAGCCATAAAAAAAAAAATGAAATCTTGCCATCTGCAACAACCTGGATGGGCCTTGGGGGTATTGTGCTGAGTGGAGTAAGTCAGACAGAGAAAGTCAAATGCCATCTGATTTCACTTATATGTGAAATCTAAAGAACAAAAGAAACAAAGAAAACACAAACACACTCATAGATACAGAGAACATTTTGATGGTTGCCAGCTCATAGGGCAGCTGGGGGTGGGGGTGGGGAAGGGTGTCGGTGAAAAGGGTAAGAGATGAAGAGGTACAAATTGGTAGTTACAAACGTCACAGAGATGTAAAGTACAGCATAAGGAATATAGGCAATAATATTTTACTAATTATGCATGGTGTCAGATGGGCACTAGATTTACTGGGTTGATCACTTTGTAAGTTTTATAAATGTCTAATCATTATATAAATGTCTAATCACTAATCACACCTGAGACTAATATAATATTGTATGCCAACTGTACCTGAAAAATTTTTTAAAAATTGTTTAAAATAAAATATAATTCAATAAAATAAAATAAAATGGCAACCAAAATTAAAAAGTAACACTTTAGAGTAAACTTTTGATATTAGATATAGATTGCAATATTTCTCTTATACTAGTAATGTTAGAGCAAAAAAAAAAGCTCTGTAAAAAAATAATGGTTCTTCATATTTTGAGGTCAGTTTGTTGGTGACATTTGAATAAGTACTAGGTATTAAATAATTTGAGGAAATTATTGTTAATAACCTTTTGTCCCTTGTGGTATTGGTGTCCTGTAGAAAAATGTCCCTACGTTTTGGAGATAAATGCTAAAATACTTCGTGATTTATATCTGTTCTTTCTTTAAAATAATTCCCCAGAAGAATACTTATATGCTTATATAGATAAGTAGAGCAAATATGTCATTAATATAAATACTAATAGTTATTAAATGTTGGTGGTGGATATACGTTACATCAAAATGTCTATTGAACATTTGCTTTACTTTATGTAATTGAAATTTTTTATTAAAAATGAAGTTTTTTAACAAAAACAGACAAAAAGAATAAATGCCAGAGGGTAAAT